AAAGCTGGCCAAATATTTTTATTCTCGATAAAAGGCAATCTTAATAATGGTTGAAATTTGTTGATTTTTGACTTTTTTTTATTGTATCTGGGATTGCGATTTCGATCCAGCCCTTAAAGGTTTTGAGTAGTAAGGTAGGGCCGATTCTAAATATGACCTTGAGCTGTGAAGGTCATTGAGCGTTAAAGGTAGATGGGTCATTAACCTTATTGTCCGGGGAGAATGGCCTTTTCTATTTAAAGGTCGTTCACCTTTAAGACACTGACCTTTTGATAAAAGGTTATTGACCTCGTCGTCTGTTCTTAAACCCTTTAGCTTAATGGTTTTGATCTCCGCTAATTGCATAATGGGGCGCAGTGATTATATAGCCCGCTCGTCGTGTATATCAAATAATCATGGCATGGCTAGCGTATGCTGAGCAATCGTGGATCAAGGCGAGAGATTTTGTAACAGCGGTAGAACGGCTTAAGCAAAAGTTTTCGGCGTTAGTATTTGACGCAGAACATGAAGCAATATGGCAATGGTGAATACAGTGAGCAGGAGTGTCTGGCCATCGCTCAAACGACGTGATGTCTAAAAGGGTATTGCTCTCTGCTGCTATTGCAGGTCGTTAAGAGGTTACTGAACAGCACCTGCAATTACGAGCGCGCGATTCTAAGTATAGAACTATCACCTGCAAATTGGGAAAAATTATGTACTTACACTTTAATAAACGTAATAATCCATTTCCCAATTTATCAATTAGCACAAAATATGTACGTACCTATATGAAAGCGACACTCATTTTTGTACCGGAATTATTTACTTCTTTTTCCCAAAATACACGAAAGCGCGTACAAACAACTGTAATTACTCCTTTTGGAGGAAATTCGTCCAAATATTACACTATTTGTTTATATCATTCGATGGTAGACGACATACACTTTCCGAATTCCATCCCAAAAATATTTTTTTTATAAAAGAAACTACGAAAATTTGAATTTTAAAGAGCAACGACGTTTTCAAGCTATTGGGCAATTGTGTGTTGGTTTGATGTCAATAATTACGATTCAGTTATTTTTTTTTACATTTATTTACAAATTTTGCGTCAAAAATGACATAAAATTGTTAAGATATTTTACGTCTTGACCTATTGAGCGTTCTTCCTCCCGCGCTTCTTCTAGGTCGAGGACCAATTTGGACACCTTAGCCTGCGCGTCAAGCAGCTTCCTTTCATATTCGGGAGCCATCTTAAGGAGGCTCGCATACGTCGCCTCCGCAACCTGTTTGGGCGTTGATGGGCTCCCATTCCAGTTACCTGCGCCGCCGCATGGGTCTCCTCCACCAAATCCATAAATCTGAAGCGCTTGCTCCATGTTTTTGCCAGCCCTTGGAAGCATTGCCATAGTTGTGGTGGTACTACACACAAGAAAAGAGAGGTATGGCATTAGCGATTTAACAAACATTTCAATAAATTATCTCCAGCTGGCGGAAGTGGAGGAGCCGGCGACGGCGATCTTATTAATGGTGGGTAAATTCTGTAAAAAAACAAAAAAATGATCATTCATAATCATGTTCTCTCTCATTATATGAATTGTATTTTTAAGTAATATATTTACCGATTTTGGGTGCATGATGGCCCTCTACCCTCAATTGCATCTAACAGATCCGCAAGCTGCGAATCGACAGTCGGCTCCGTACTATAATCTTGAAATTTTAGTTCACACGGTGGTTGTTGAAACATCAAAAGAAAATATTTACCGTATTTGTGCTGTTCGACCCCCAGACTCATCGTCTGAGTTGATCGTGATGACCGAATATTGGTCCTCTAGGAGCGGAAGGGATGGCGCACTCGCGATAGGTATTAGCGGCGGTGGTGGATGCGTTGAATGTTTACACTGCACTGCACACCTAGGTGGTGGTTTTGGTGGTGCAATCCTAATGTCGCTAAGAACTTTAGCTTTCCCACTTGTGGACGGCACTGCGCTACGAACTTTAGCTTTCCCATTATTATTATTACTTGTGGACGGCACTGGTTTCTTTTTCATTGATAAGGACAGCTTGGGCATTTTACTTGAACTTGCCATGTTAACGCTCGCGATGCAATTAACTAACGGCTGCCATTTTTATTACGTATTATTACCAGAAGTCGTGGGAATGAGAGAGACAGCGCATGTTCTCTGGAATAGATAACAAAATGCAACGTAGCATTCATTAAGGTTGTTTGACCTCTTGGCTTTTTCCTTCATCAAGAGCAGTATCGGTGATCGCCAATCAATTCCAACTTAATCATATTTTTTCACTTGGATAATTTTTGTGTAAGTATGTCGAGGGCTTCGACCACATCTGCGGCGTCCCTTAGCAGTGACATAGTTCGCCTGACTCGAGACGCTGTCAAATTAATAAAAAGCAAATCGGAGATCTCTAAACACCTTTCGATCTTACATAAAAATATAAGTATAGTAGAAAACGCAATCACCAATAAGATTCATTTAGATAGCCCCAATGAAAACCCAATTAGGCTTGAAGCTAATTTAGGGATACTCAAATTTTATTTGACTCTGTTGCATCATAAATTACAAAGTGTTTCCCAAAAACGGGGTTCTGGCGTTAGTGCCACCGATCGTGCCCCCCATTTTCCTGATCTCGTTTGGCATCAATTAAATTCCTGTTTTCAGGGTAGAATTCTTACTGGAATTATTGTCAATTTAGGCTACAAAGATCCTTTAATTTTTTTACAACGTGCCTATGACAGTGTCCTACGAAAAGTGCGTGAGCAATTGAAGCGATCAATGCTGAAAGTTAACGTACTACTTGCTTGCGATTTTATTAATCCTCAAAACCTTAATGTGAATTTAAAAACTTTTTCGACTAGAAACTCCGTCATAGATATTGGGACCAATTTGCGAGAATGGTACGGGTCTGAGGTTATTGATAAATTACAAGAGAAGCTTGGATCATTCGCCGAATGTGGTTCTGGGTGGGCCTTAAGCCAAATTCTCACTAGTAATCTCACAAGTGCATTGATTCTTTCCGGAAATTTTTTTGAGTGCAGTCCAACAACGTATTAATCGGCCCGAGCGGAACGCGAGGGCCGATTACGTTGTTGGACTGCACGAATACAAAATTTTCGGGGAAAAATCAATGCACGAGTGTAGATTCGGTAAGAAAATCGCAACGACACCACAACAAAACTCTATATTGATTCAAATTTTATTTTGTGTTTTAAATTATCAAGTTGATGTTGGACAAAATCCATGGAAACCTGTGTATAAACAAAGTAGTTAAATCAGAAAAATTCAGAGATGTCACGTTTTGGTACTGAATCTTTTCAAAAGATAGACGAAGCAATAGACCATACCATTCCGGCCAATACGAAGCGGAATAAATGCTCGGTATGGAGCTAGTTTTCGAGCTTTTGCGAAGAAAAGTACAAGCTGGATGAGAAGGAGGAATTGGATGAAATATTGAAAGATTGGAACTTCAACATGAGCAAGAAGAATGGTGAATCTTATAAGGAAGGCGTGGTGAAAGTTGTTTGGAATTCATCAGCTAAACAATTGCAAGAAAAGTATTACAAAGACTTCAACATCAAATTCGACCCCTTTACTGATTTGGAGTCCAGTGGAGCTAGTTTCGCGCGAGACGCATGCCACCGGAAGTTACAAGCCGATCCTGCTAAAAGAAAAATGAGTTCAACAGCTCTTATTAAAGAAGAATTATCCAGAATGATGAGACATGGGACGAAAATACTCCTACCGGTTCCTACTGATTCGTTTCGTTTCACAAAACGTATCTTGACGTTTAATCCCTAAACGTCAAAAAATTTCCACTTATTAATTTTAGGTAGGTTTAGCAGCTAGAAAAAATTTCCGCGAAAATCTTTCCGTTGCCATGGTAATAATGCTCGAATAAAGTTTTTGATTGGTTGTTGGAGAGTGTCGTGCGATTTTCATATATAAAAGTGAACCTAAAGTACGAGGGGAGATTTTTATGTAATCTACTGGAAAACCATGACGGATGGCAATGATTTTTAACTGTCAAACAGCCTCAACATTTATAAGTATTCTGTGCACGTGGCGTGCAAATTGAAAGAGTTTTGTAATTTTGGTAGCGGTTTGAATGTTGAAAAATGGGTGATCGAAAATTTGAACACAGAGCGTTATAAAAGTTTTGACTAAGGAGGGTCAAGGCCCAAAAAATTATCACCGGCGATGCAACCCGGGTGTCTCACTGTGACCCTCCAACAAAACAAGAGTCGATGCAGTGAGTCTCCTCCATAAAAAAAGCCGAAAAAGCAATGTTCAGCAGGAAAATTGATGGCAACGGTTTTCTGGGATTGTAAGGGGATTCTTCTGCTGATTGAATCCATGCAGAAAGGCACTACGATTACCGGTGATGTTTATAAAGAGACTATTAAAACCTTAAAGCTGCCATCCGACGGAACTCACTCAGAATTTTGCCGATAAGACCATACTGCTGCACGACAACTGCTCAAGGCTCAAAAAGTTCGACAAGTTATCGATGAATGTGGGTTCCAGGAGTTAAGGCATCCACCCTAGAATCCGGATTTAGCACCTTGCGACCACTATCTCTTCGCCAATTTGAAAAAACATTACGAGGCAAAAGATTTGCTTCTGATAAAGACCTGAAAGTTGCTGTTCGTGACTATTTGGAAGAGCTACCGAAAGAATTTTTTTTGAAGGTACCTGTTTATTATAGAAACGGTGGAATAAGTGCATAGGCGTTGAAGGTTCATATGAAGAAAAATAAATTTTTTCTACAACTGTCAAAAAACCTGTCATTTTCTGACGGATTTCGAAACGCGAAGTACTAGATTTTTAAACGGTTAATTAATAAGTAAGGTTGCTATTGACAACGTGCGCGAAATCGTCAACAGTGAAAAATAGTATATTAAAACATAAGTTGCAGAAGGCCCTCTATTCTAACACGAGTTCAAGTTTCGAACCTGAGCCGCGTAGCGGCGAGGGTTCGAATGAACGAGTGCTTAGAAGGCCTTCTGCAACGAATGTTTTATACTATTTTCTCTGTTTCGGGCTCGTTTCGCATTGTTTATTAATTATGGATAAATTTAAAAATATTTTCGATATAAATTGTGTTGGCAGTACTGACTATTTGCTTGGTTTCCATAGTAACCGATCTTTCAAATTTCTTCACGAGATATTTTTGCGAAATTATCTTTAGATTTGAAAAATAAAATCCATTACCTACATTTCACTAAAGAGCCTACAATGTCAGACGAAGAATTAACTTCAACACCACCGGAATTGCGTGAATTAGCTGATAATGCGGTAAATGATTTGGTGCTATCCAAGTCTAAAAATGAGTACCAAAAGGAGTATGAAAAATTTGAATCTTGGCGCATTGAAAACAAGGTGCAAACCCTCACAGAAAATGTTTTGCTTGCATACTTCGAAATTCTTAGTAAGACTTACAAAAGTTCTACATTATGGAAGACATACTCGATGCTTCGATTGATGATAAACATCCGACAAAACGTTGACATTTCAAAATTTATGAAGCTTCAAGCATTTTTGAAACGATTATCGGTAGGGTTTGTACCCAAAAAATCAAAGATACTGGAATATAATGATATAGAAAAATTTATTAGTGCTGCACCGGATATGGATTATCTCGTTATAAAGGCGAGTTCATAACATTTTGTCATGTACACTAAAACTACAATACTATTTTTAGGTAATATTAATTATGGGTTACTCGGGCGCCTGCAGACGTCAAGAGCTTATTAATATCGAGCTTGACGACATTGAATATAAAAGTCAATCGGTTTTTGTCACAATAAAAAAAAGTAAAACCCATCACCCAAGATTATTCGCAATAAAAAATGAGCATTGGATACATTTAATAAAAAAATATTATGGTTTAAGACCATCCAATGTGAACCACCAACGGTTTTTTATATATTATAAAAGTGGCCGTTGCACAAAACAGCCCATTGGCATTAATAAAATGGGAGAAATGCCACGAATTATAGCAAAGTACCTCAACCTACCTGAATGGGCTTTATTTTCTGGGCACTGTTTTAGAAGGTCTTCCGCGTCACATTTGGCAAATAGTGGCGGTGATTTAATTACGGTGAAACAACATGGAGGCTGGAAGAGCTCTGCCGTAGCAGAAGGTTACATCGAGGCATCCATTAGCAAAAAAATGGAAGTTGCCGAAATGTTGTCAAACAGTGGTGGACCTCCATCAGTTAGACAGTCTACTTTTACTGCTCCTCCAGCAACAGCTTCCAGTTCCAATGCTGGTTTTATACAGCCTGAATTAAGTAACCCAGAAAATACTAATGTGTCGCAGCAAAATCTGCCCGGCATTTCCGTCAATGCAGGAGTAAATTCAACCGTTACAATTACTATTTACAATAATTACAACACCTCTTCATAATGTATAATTTTGTACAGTTAAGCAAGTTGTTTAGTTTCATATACTTTCTGTTTTATTCTTATTCCGCATTACTTATTTATTACTGACAACTGAGAGCAGTCACTTGATCAATCGTATTGACGTAGGTTGCTAAAGCTAGCACGGCTTTCTGATATCATACTGTAAACAAAATGGGCCCCCGAAATCTCAAACTGCATACGAAGTGTAACGCAATTTGGCTTCAGTTAGTTAGTAGAGGAAATTCCGCTTCAATCTTGACAAAAACTCCTTATGTGAAGGATGCAGCTTTCGATGTGGGATCTTCGACCAAAGTTATCCGAATATAATAACTGAAATAATTTAGCCATGAAGAACTGTTTGCACCTTAACAATTGGAGTTATTTTACCCAACTTACAGCTTACCTTACGATATCAAAAATGTGTTCATTTTAATAAAAATGGTTTCCTTTAGAGTAGTAGATACTTATTCGTATATTTCGAGGTCTTCATTTTATGATAATTACTTTGCCCTTGCAATCAGTTCATACCTACAAGTAGGGTTAGTTAAGTATCAATAACATATTTATGACAACGAAACAACACGGCTCACCGTAACATATGTATATTACATGGACATTATCGATATTGTTAATTACATTACGTATCTTTAAGTTATTTAGAAATGATCGACGTTCACGGCACATAACATCAGCTTCCGTCATCGATACGCCGACTGTCAAACTTATGCAAACTCTCGAAAAAAAAAGTCACTAAAAATCGTTTAAGAATAGAGTTCAAACTAACACTAAAATACGTGCGAGAATGACGTATTCTAACACCGAAACAGAGAAAAGTATTTCGCGCACGTGACAAAGTTGAACTTAAACAGCAAATTTAATTAACAATCGGTTCAGTTGTAGAAAAAATATTGTATATAACGCTAGCGCGAAGTTATTTCGCGCATTTGACTGATATTTTGACTCGGCTTCGCCTCGTCAAAATACCTTCAGTCTCAATGCGCGAAATTGAACTTCGCGCTCTTGTTATATAAATAACTATTGTTTTCTGCCTTAATTCCTTGCTTTCATATCTTACGGGGTTTAATTACATAAAAATCTCTCCTCGTAGATAGCCACGTTCCTTAATTAGCAGTACACCGCCATCACGGAAAGTCACCACCCTATTCTCCGGTAATTCGCCCCCCTCTTCAACCGCCATCGTTTTTCTCGGCTTAAGGAGAGAGGGAGGCTTCGTCCTCAGCTCGCGAGTAATAAAGGTATCGCAGGGGTTGTAACGTTGTGCGCTGGTGATTTCTTTTTTTGGTCAGGAGATTGAAGGTTTTTTAGATGATGAATGATAAATACTCTCATCGTCCTCTGGCTCCTCCTTTTCGTTCAATAACGGATCGATGATGCCAGCGGTTCGATTTTTCTTTACGATTGGGAAAGGCGGTTGATTAGTGGTTTTACGTTCGTACCAACTCCACTTCTTTAAGTAAAACGATCGCGTTTTTGAGACCGATTGTTACTTTAGCTGTTTATTTTTGGACAAAGCCTTGATAGCTGTTTATTTACAACTGAATAATAAATACGTTCTCATGGTCATTATATAGTCGACTCGAACTCTTTCTGAACGACGCGTTTGGCACATCCGCATCCTTATTTATCACCATAACGCATAAGGAATTCACCAACTTTCCGAGCACATCTCTCGGAAGAGCTGCATTGTTATGATGGGAGCGACGTGATCTTCATAAATGTGTCGCAAATTCAAATCGTCCTGTTCGAATAAGACAATTAAGTTAGCATTGTCTCGAATCAATTGTTTAGGAATTTTAGAATACGTCTGACCCAAGTAGAAACAGTCGACGGCGTTATGCCTCCCCATTGAAAAGTACGCTCTAATGTTATCCTGTTTTTCACAAGCGATATCGTCAAAAATAAAAACTGAATTAGGGTTAGCCGCATTTGGTTCCATAATTTATTATTTATTATCTTAATAATCTCTTAATAATAATAATTTTTAATAATGTCAGCATTCTCGCTAATGTGAACCGAGAAAGAATGCTTAGCCATTGTCTGGGGAATTGAGAAGATGAGACCGTACCTGGAAGGCATTTCACCATACTATCCGACCACCAGTCTTTACGCTGGCTGCATTCAATCAAAAGTCCGACCGGCCGTCTAGCAAGATGGAGTATTTTCCTGCAGCAGTATGACTTCGAGATCAAGTACCGAAAAGGAATCCTTAACCGTGTTGCCGATGCTCTTTCCCGTGATCCTTTACCTCATACCGAGACCGACACTACCGAATCTTCCGAAATACCGATTTTTGCCCTTGAATTACCCGAATGCTCTTGGTACCGAAATAAATTTAATGCCGTAACCGACCGACCCGATACCGTACCGTAAAATGGGGTGAATGGAAACAGTTTTTGATCTTTCGTAGTTTATAACTTGGAAGGGAAGACGTTATTAAAAACCATATGTGTAGGAAAAGTCCGGTCCCTTTCTTCACAAAAGATGCCGAATTTTACATTTTTGAAATTGCAAATGAATATGGAGTTATCATTTTTTTTTTTATTTATTTCTATTCGTCATTTTAGTGGGGTGAATAGAAACACTATTGAAAAAATCAGATGTATTGCTATCCAAACACAGTACAGGTGAATAGAAATATTAAAAACCGAAATAATATATACAGGGTAAGTAAATTTTTCAGTTTCAAAAAAAAAATGCAAAAGCTTTATGTAAATTATGTATTTATTAACAAAAACTAAACATTAAACATTCTTTAAAGTACCTAAATATAAAAACATATGAGTTTAATGGATATTAATATCAAAAATAATATTCTCCCTTCGTTTGAAACCAGTTTCTTGAAGCGGATACACCTGCCCAATAATTTGGTCGTGACTGAACGTACACACATCTGGGTTAGAAGGAAAAAAAAAGATTTCTCTGTCAGTTTTACTTGAGGTTTTTGATCTCAAAAAGGTAGCCTCAATTGCACCTTCCTCACAAGACAGCACTTTTCCTACGTAATATTTATATTTTTGGCTTTTTGAACCTTCAATTGCAAAGCTTACAAGAAGCCACATTTCAGGCACAATATTTTCCACGTCGATGTGAAAGACGTTGTCAAATGTTTTTCCATTCTTCTTTAACTGAGAATTTTTCTCACCCGTACTGTTCTTGTTAGGAACCGTGTGGGTATCAATTTGCAGATCCTCATATTCCTCATCGAAGACAGTTTCATTGTCACTACCTTCATCGTTGTCTTCTATTGACATGTTTGAACTGTCGTTTTCACTGGACTCACAATCTGCACCAGAGACACTTTTACCTGCTTCTATTTGAATTTTCTTCTTCTTGTTTCGACACGCGGATGCTCCGTCGCCATACCTTAACGACTTTAGGTATGAGACAACTGTATCATTAACATGTTCGTCACATCTTCCTCTTCAACATCCTCGGGAAGTCGGCTCAATACCTCTTGCCTATTTATAGGACACACACCACATTTCCTGAATCCTGACTTTATATTACTTTCTGAAGAAGAATGAATTTCTTCGAGTAGGTTTTTCAAAAGATGGGGAAACTTGTCCTTTGGAATGGAGCATTTTTTTTGTCCCTCTCCTTTTTTCCAAGATAATAGCACATTTCTCCATGCAGTTTTTAGTGGGCGAAAAAAAGCTACGTCCAATGGTTGCGTCATGTGTGTAGAATTGGGTGGGAGAAACACAAAATGAATGTTGTATTCCATACAAAGTCTAATAGTTTTTGGGGAGAAGTGGGAGGATAAATTATCCCCTATCAAAATTTTTTTCCCATCCAATTTTTTAAGGTAAGGAATTGCAATTTTCTCCACCCAATCTTCAAAGCTGGCTGACTCGAACCAACCGCTGTTACTTCTATTGTATCTGGTTCCTTTTGGTCCCCCAACTGTCCAAGAGTCATATAAATTTTGCGCCTTGTAGACCACGTAACATGGAAGTAATTTCCCGTCACCAGCAGCAGCGAACATGATAGATGTAGCACTTTTACTTGTGTTCATTATCCTTTCGGGATACCGACAACCTCTCTTGGATATTACTTTTTTCCGCCCGGGATCGTCTGATAAGTTAGTTTCATCGAAATTAACTGTATGTGATGGCGGCACTCCCTCCAATTCTTTTTCTAAATTGTTAAAATAATTATTCAAGATCACAGAGGACACTGCTGCTCGAGAACGCTTGATATTTTGGCAAACACGATCCCTGAGACGATCTTTGTGCCTTTTCATGAAGGAAAATGCAAATTCCCTTCCTGGCATGTTATCTTTAAATCGGAGCAATCGCTTACCTCTTGAGTCTAAATATTGTTTAACAATCTTTCGGAGATCATAATGATCCAGTGGATATCCCCATTCAGAACAAACTTCAAGAACTTGAATCAATGCGTTCTCTTCGGTTTTACTCAGTTGAGTTTGACCTCCTTTTTTCCTAATTTCAGGATTATGTTTATGTCTAAATAATACAGAATAATGTATTCCATAAGTATAAGCTGCTGTCCGATATGACATCCCATCTTTTATATCGCGAAGCGCCCTAGCAAGCGCATCGGAATCTATTTTTTTATTAACTTTTCCTCGTGGATCTTTTTTATATACTCGAGGCATATCCAACTGATGATCCTGTAATTTAAAAATAATAAGGGGTTAGGTACCTACCTCGTATATCATTTTCATGCTAAAGTGAAAGCAACAACTATATAACAAAACAATTTGTGGGGTGAATGGAAACAGTAAAGGTGAATCGAAACACTGTTTCTTTTCACCCCACTTTAACCTTAAATTATAACTTATTGCATACTTTTGTCAATAAATTAAAAAGTTTATCAGGCACAGTTAAAGTTAATTATACATCATAAACAGCAAACATAAGGCATTTCATGGTGCTAATAATGTGTATCTTACCTCTTCCCTTATGCACAAACGGAGTCAAGTTTATGGAAGTACAGACAAAGAGACACCAACGCACGTGGTTTAGCGCCACAGAAATCTTATACAAACTAGAACGCTAATAGGTATGGGATGCGCGAGAACAAAATGACACAATTTGAACGGTGAAAATTGACATTTGGTGCACTCCTGAGTTTGCGCATTGCGTGAGCTTACAGATCCGGTCTCTGAATTCGCCATTGTGATAGTTGTTATTTCGAGTTCTCAAGATTGAAATAGAGGTGTTAATACTACAGTGCAGTGGAATTAAATTTCGAAATTCTGTCTTTCTAACTCTAACATAATGAAATGTATGGTGTTGTTTTGTAACAATGCCGGAAACATTCCAGGAATCACTATTTCTCGTAAGTATTTTGGTGTATAGCATAAATAGGTATATTCAAGTGTCCCATATTTTCGCCAGCTCAAAATATCTGAAAATGAGGTGAAACCATGTCAGGGCGCGTTTGAAAGTGTGTAGGTTTAAATAACATGAATTTTGTGCACATTAAGGAAATTATTATTACTTTGAAACTTTATTGAAGTTTGCCTTGAAATTCTTATCATTTTTATATAAGGCCGGCTACACATTACATGGCAAACTAGGCGAATGCCAACCTTTGCGATGTGTACAAGTTTCGTTGCCAAATGAAAGCTTCCCAAGTGGTTCGTACACATTATATGCCGAAATTTATATATTTTACTATATATTATACATTATCGCAAATTATGCTGGCGATTGTCCTTTGAAGCGGGCCAGTTTACCGACTTCTAGGCGAACGTTCACAAACACCAACGTTGGCCATGTGTACACATTATATGGCAAACTCAACGAATCACCTACGTTCGTATAGTTTGCCATGTAATGGTGTAGCCGGCTTAAGGCGAGTCTATT